TGATCTTTTGTACTATTTTCATGGTAAATGTATGGAACGAGATATTTTGACTTGTAAACATGTTTTGTTCTTTGTATCAAACTATTTCGGTTCTACATACATGACTGAACACCAAAACTGGTTCTATGTGTTTGTATTGCAAACTTTTTTATGCCACTACGTTTATTTTTTCAATTGTAGTTTTTAAAGGGTTTCTGTATTTGTATTAACTGCGTGTATTACAGTATAACCGGTATAGGAAAGAAAGCAATTAAAAAATGTAGAGAACTCGCCAACCATCAAGAACATGGAATTAGAGCAATTTCTAAAAAAACAATTTTGGCTGATTTCGTTCAAAATCATGACTAGTATTAGCTTGTGAATACATCTTACATTATGATCTACAGTAGACTTTGATAGCAATTACTTGTAATACCAATTGAGAAGAAAAACTTAAAAGGTACTTTAAATTCTGCCATACCCTTCATTAGACAGTATGATACAAATATTTCTACATTATTTTTGTGCATACATGTACCGGTATATGATATATGCCTTTGAGAGGAAAGATGTGTAAAGGCTCGTACAGACATGAAGCAGTAAATTGCTTCATTTTTTTTAAGTCCAGTATAATAGAAATATTTTTAAGTCCCAAAAGAATGAGATCACACATGTAATACTCACATCTGTATATTGCATCACAAATATCAGTGATTTTGGTTCGGGCCGTTTTGCATCCAGACATTTTATGTTCATTTCGGTGATTATTCTATAGTTGAACTTATCTCAAAGACAGTTGGATTATGCACAGCCGTTAGCATCTTTGAATATATTTTGCAAAAGTTTCTCTATAAGGCATAGGATGTTGATTCAAATCTTTCATATTTTTTATTGTCAAGGAGATTTCATGTTCTTGATGTGGAATTTATGAAAAGTCTAAAATACTTGGAATTTTTGCTTTTGAATATATTTCACTTTAAGTCTACAAATGGCTCTCCATAATGTTTAGGTCCAACTTAGAGTTAAGTACGACTTAGGATCTTTGTGAAACACCCCCTTGTGTCGGTCTGGTGTCGGTCTGGTGTCTGTCCGGTCGGTGTGACTGGTGTATGAAGAGGGTTTATATGAAGTTCTACAGCGGGAAGAGAATTCACTGGATGTACGTTTGTACAATGTATATAGCAAAATATTACAAACTAATACAGAGTTCATTCAAAAGAAGAAATGGACAATAAAGTTTGTACATGTATAAAAAAAAATGTCTGGCCCAATCTTTGTGTTATTTTTTGTTTTGTTTGTAGAGAATTCACCTAATAAGGCAGGGAGAGGGCATTATGCCCCCCCCCTCCGTGATTTTTCTGATTGTTTGGGCACGCATACGGATGGCGCCCCGCCGCTTGCCGACTTTTTTTTTTCGAGTCTTGCGCATCTCTTAAAACAATTTTTTTGAATATCGGACGTACAGTTTCAAATTCACGTGACCTTTTGTCTTTGCATGTCAGCCCGAAAATTGCTCATTTTCGTGATTTTCCTTAACACCAGCTGATTTCCATTTCGGTGTTTAGAGCTGGTGTTAGTGTTTGTGTTTATTAAACACTTACATCAGCCCTAAACACCTAACTTGAAATCACTCATTGCCTGCAGTCAAAAGACAAGATTTTATGATCGATGGAAAATCTTTTTACAATAGTATTCTATATACTTCACTTGACATGCGTGCAAATTTTTGCTGCGATCGGCCGTATTTAGACCTCAAATAGCCCGGCCTTATATTAAGCTTGGTATAAAAGATTGAATTTCTTTTCTTTTTTAATTCACTGTTATAAAAAAAAGTGTTCCAAGTCACTTGCAGTATAATGTAATTATAAGAAAATGGATGTTCCTTAACTGGATTTAGAGAACATCGGGAGAACCTCTCCCCCCCCCCCCCAAAAAAAAAAAGTGGTAAAAATGTGATTTTACAATTGCCTTTGATATGCCTGTAAAGGTTGTGTTGAAGTGTGAAAGCAATGTGGAGTAAATGGAGGATTTTTATTGAGATATGAAGAGGAAAGTGTACCTAGATAAGAGGGCCAATACGAGACAATATGAACTTCCACACAATTGTCAAAATTACAATCAAGATACCGGTATCCAAAAAGCATGCTAGTTGTCCATGCCATGTTTGAATGTGATTTCTTTCATGATGAATTCAGAATCACGTTCAGACCATTGCCCTTGAAAAGAATTCCCATCAGAACTCAAAATATTAAAGCTTATCTAGTATTCTTATCATTAAGTATCTGGTGTTGACTCTGCCTCGAAGGGGAAAAGCGAAATTAATCACTTTAACCATGGCTGTCAACCCTCCTGCATTTGGAGGGAGTCTTGCCACCACGCTCATTCTCCCGCCGTCCCGCTAGCTCGTAGCTGGAGACTCCCGCCACCACACGCTTCCTCCTGCTCTCCTGCAAACGAGATAAAATTTCCAGGTTATGAAAAACCTCCCGCCAAACGTGTAAAATGAAAAGGAAGAAAAAAAATATTTTTAATGCTCACTATACCCCCCCCCCCCCAACCCCCTTTAGCAAAAAATTTGCATACGATATGGTACGCTGGTTCCTCTGAAGAAACAAAAATCTCCCTCCAAGCAGTTCTCCAAAGTTGACAGCCCTGCCTTAACCCTTGGGGGTTTCTTTTCCCGATATAACTGATTGGGATAAGCCGATATGCAGGTGAACTAATACCACTTTTATACTAATAGTGCAGGGAGTTCTTATTATGTGAAAAGGTGGTGAGTCTCCTATACGCAAGGCCTCAATTTATTAAACATCTTTTCCCTGGGATGGAGTGTTTTCACACTGAAATCTTGTCTGCATCTATGAAACAGGAGAGGGGCACATTCACACACAATGCAGGCTTCGGTCATCCACCTGGGTTGAATTTGAACTTGTGATCTTTAGGTTAAAAGGGCAGACGCTTTTCTGACAGAGCCAACTTGCCTCTACAAGCCAACTCGCTTCTACAATGATTCTTAGATCTCAATTCTACACACACACACATTCTCTCTTCCTTTCTCTCTCCCTCTCCATCTCTCTCCCTCTCTCTCTCTCTCTCTCTCTCTCCCCCTCCACAATCTGTCAACTATGTCTCTAATTCTCCCTCTTCCCCTGGGTTGAATTCAAACTTGTGATCTTTGGTTAGAAGGGCAGACACTTTTCTGACTGAGCCAACTCGCCTCTATAATGATTCTTTGATTTCAATTCTACACACACACACACAAACTCACCACCAAAGCCTCACATCATACACAAACAGACAAAAAGGGCATGATGTGTCATTGTCTGATGAGTGGATTGACTTTTATTGCAATTACAGAAATATCCTGAATTCTTCAACAGATATGAACACTTACTGACGACAGGTAGGTTTCTCCATAATAATCCATTATTTACAAATTCAAATCACAACATGTAACATTCATACTGTCTGTATGGAGCCAGGAGGGTGTTACTCAGAGTTTATCACAGAATGCCCGTCCTCATCAGCTCGAGATTGCCAAATAGCCCGCTATTTCTGATTTGGGAAATAATCCCGACGTTGCAAATCACGTCTCCATCAGCTCAAGATTCGACCTCGAAACTTGAAACTCGACCTCGAGAAATTAGCTCGAGATATTTTGCTCAGCGTTCGCGCATATGGCGAATCTTCAGGCTGGTGAAAACGCACCAGACAAATGGCGGGATATTTTGCAAACTAGCCCAAGATATCTTGGGATGATTATCCCAACCAAATATCCCGCTAATTGCAACTTCGGGCTGATGAAGACGCAAATTAGCTGGATAATTTGCGATCGGGTAAGTTGAAATAGCGCGATATTTGGCAATCTCGAGCTGATGAGGACAGGTCTAAAGATGATGCCCTCCTGGCTCTGTACATACGATCATTGACACAGAGTGCATGATCAATTCATCTAGATTCATCTGTACATTCAAAAGGAGGTGTCCATCATCAAGATTCTGAAGGCATAATTTGACGCTATTTGTCCCCTGAGAATTTCTGAATATTTAGATGCAGCAACAAAGCAAAGATAGTAGGTAGTTTTTTACTCATGCTCGAATGTGCATTAAAACCAGGTTTCGACAAGACAATGAGTGATTTCAAGTTGGGTGTTAGTGTTAGTGTTTAGAGCAGTCAAGAGCTCTTAAATCAAGCTAAAAATTTGCTGATGAAATTAAGAGCCCGATACCGAAATCAATTGTCTAACGATTAACACCAACACCGAACCGGAAATAAACATTTGCTTTTGCGGAAATCCCAAGGGTTTAGTGTTAGTGAATATGACATTTGTACGTAAAATATTAACACTAGTTACAAAGGTCGGTTCAGCAGACGACAATTTTGCTAAATTGATAACACTAGCTCCCGG